TTAGTGTGAATGAAGGACTGGAAAAGAAAATAGAAGGTACCAAGTTGTTTAGGATCTCGGATTAGGCTTCGGCGCTGAGGGCATGGAATGAAAAGATACTGAAAGAATGGATTGTAGTAGTTCCTGTTGGGGTTTCTGTACAAGTGTGATGGGGATCCATTCCTTCATTCTCTACCCTCCACCAAGTAAAAGGTAACAGGCTTCGGGTTTTGAGATGAGAGTTTGTGTTTCGGCTGTAGGCTCAAGGGATCAGGGTTAGGGGTGGCTACTTAGGGTTTAGGGCCAACATGGTGGATTCATGAGGGCGCTGGGCAAGAAGACACAGTGTCTCATGTTGCTCTCCCCTACTGGCTTTCGTGGGCATCCCTAAACCCTAAACCATCCCCTACTGGCTTTCGTGGGCATCCCTTGAAACCAAGGAGCACTTTCAGGGTCACACACAGTGTGCAGAGAGACCTTCTGCAATAAAAACCTTGTGAGTCGCACATCTTTTTCTTGGGGCAAGTTGGCAGTTTCCCTAAATACGGGGACCCCAGAATAGACCCAACAATATTATAGTTCTTATTATAGGGACCCCCGAAATGGTACCCCTGAGTCTGGGAAACCCCTAGTTGATGAGGAGTGTGGAATCTGAATGACAGCTCCCAATCCATCCCAATCATACAATGGCTGTTTGAGGGCATCCATGCGGAGATGGTATGCTCACCGTGCAGCCCTGACCACCAACTTGAAAACCCAATCGCTTCGACCCTTCGCTGATCAGAACCCTTCATCAGCTGCAGCATGAACTGATCAGAGCCGCAAATTAGATGACAGGACGGCAGCTCACGAGGGATGGGTGAGCCGCTGAGATCGGTGGGATGTGCTTCATGAAGCCGCTTCATGTCATGTGAGCTACGGTCTAAACTTCTTGAAGGGGGTTATGTAAGGGATTATGTAGGGGACTATTGTCGGGGTTATTCAGGGGGATACTACAGTAGGAGTTTAGACCATAGCTGATGTAGGCTTCAAGGAGGCTGGTCTCCCTGTGAGTCAGTACATCTTCTGCCGCTGAACAAACGTTTTGTTACTTGGGCCTGTCCTCAAAACCCAACTGACCTTGTCAGGATCATTGTAACTCAGAGCAATGAGAACTTTCCTGGGCCCTGCCCCCCATACTGCACTGCAATTTCAGAAACTCCCATATAACTCCTAGGTCCTGTTGGAATAAGATGCTAGCCCATGAGGTTGCAAAACTTCGTAGTGCTCATTGTATGCATGGGGATTAAGCATGTACGTTTGTCTGCACATTGGCCTTGATACTCGTGTTGGCAAAGTAACCACAGAAATATAGATCAGACTTGGTGGCGGAAGAGCAGTCGTGCTATTGTTTGCAATGGGATTTAAAGGTGGAAGTGGTAATCGTATGGGAGTAGTAGTAGGCAGTAGTAATAGCAGCGGAGGTAGTCAAACTAGTAGTCGTGGCAATTGCTGACTTTCAAAATCTTTGATCGAGCCCGCGGCCCAAAAAGTTCTAGCCCAGTGTACTTGATGAGCAGCTCTCAAAACCGAAGCCCTGAGTAGTCATGTAAGTCATGTATCTAACAATACGGAAATCTCATTCCATAAAGTATAGTCCCCCTTAAGTAGATAGAATATGGTTTTGACCACATTATAATAAGATCCCCATATACTCCATATTCTATCTCTACTTAAGGGAGACTATAATCCCATAATCCCACACGACAAACGCCGCAAGCTCAGCATCCCAGGCCACTGCACCTTCTCAGTGCCTTCCATGGCAGCAGCAGCCATACAAGCGCTGCGCGACCGCGACGCCCGGTGCCGTGATGGCTTGGTGTAGGATTTCGGCTTCCCAGAACAGGGTTCAGGGGTTTAGGGGTGCGCATGCCATAAGTACTATTACTAGCATTGCCACTGTTAATAATACTATCACCACTATTATTGTGACCTTTATAGGGAGGAGTGGCGTTTACCTCTACTGACTCTGCAGCTGTCCTTTCGATAGATTGTCGTCTTGAAGCCGTGCAGGCCGGGGCAAGGTCAGAATAGCAAAGGCTGAAGCTAGCTTCAAAACTACCTCACCAACTGTCCAAAGCCTGCTGAAAACCCAAAGGCGCAGAAGCCCCCAGCATCAAAAAAGTCAAATCTGCTTTAGCGTGAAAGGAGAATATCTTGTCCGAGTCAGGTCGGGGGGAGACCCATTTGGATCGCGGAGGACACGAAAGGTGCGAGCTCTGTCAGCTAGAAAGTGATGATGCCGTTTGGAAAATTGATTGTTAGGAGGTACTATGATGGGAACCCAAAAATGGAGCCTGATTTTCACAACCACCTTCATGTTTTTCTCTGAAAGGTCCCGCAGTTCCAGCGGCCAGCACGTCCTCCCGCGCCGGGGCCTCCAACTCTCAGGAGTTTGCTCAAAATCTTAGATTCCCTTTAGGGCTTATAATAGCAAAGACGATAATGTGAATAAATATGCTAAAAGCAGTATCATGCAACAATAGGAATATAGCAATATTGTAGGGTTTAAGGGTTCCCTTCTAGGATGTTGACAGCTATTGTGACAGAATGCTAGGGCTTTGAAGGGCCCACCTAGAGCGTCACAAAAATCCATCCAAGAAAAAGACCCATGGAAGCTTCTTCTCCAGCAAGCGTAATGTAGGGGCCCTAAGAAGCAGAATGGGGTGCTGGGCTGTAGTATGCTAGGATTATGAAGAGGCTTGTAAGGGGATATTCTTCCTAAATACTCAACCTTCTACATCTCTTCCAAATTTTTATGTCGAGCTTCTGTTCGTTTTGGGGGTCCTTACACTTGGGATGACGGGTTTAGGGTTTAGGGTTTGGGGGCAGCGTTCAAGCGTGTTTGGGATACTTGGTGTACAGGCATTCACGCTGCAATATTGGCGAGTGTACGTGTGTTTCAGCCGGTGCTTTTTTGCTTTTGTGCTTTATGTATTTCGGAATGAGGCGATGAGATGGGGATCGACGTTACAGCTCCTCAGCACTGCTGTGCCCCCCTTTCCAGGCAACCCCCACTCCCACTAGATTCTTATGATCTCGCATGGGGTCACCTGCCATCGGAACAGAACCTGAGGATCCAACATGGAAATCTTGCCCAGGTCTTTTTTAGCAACGTCCCATTCGACATCGAGGAGGCATCTTTCTAATGTGGCATCCCATTGCCACAAGCTGGTTTGACTAGACCGAGAAATTCTCCAACCCGAGAATCCGAAATATCTTTTTGCAGATTGGTCACACTTGACCCCTAGGGCCCACATATATGCATACACATGTGTGCATATACAAGCAGCATGTAGGTATACGTAAAGTATCTGTTTATATGTATATGAATATGCAAAAACACGTTGAATCATGGGGGGAGGGTTCCCAAAGTTGCATGGCCTCGTCTTCGGGAAGCCTCCGCAGGCGGTTTACGCGGGGACGGGTTTTCTCAAGGTTGCTTGCCCCTGTTTCAGGTTCTTGCCAAGGCAGTTTAAAGTTGCCCGAAGTAGTTCCCGTGGGACTATCTATCCAGGATGTAGACATGTCATCCCTTGTTCATCCCTTTATCTCCCAAGCATCGTTCCTTCATTTGGAGACTTTTTACAACATGGGACCGCTTTTCTTGCTGGTGGCTCCTACAGAGATGCGGAAGATGGAGATTCAGAACCGAAAGGGTTGCACAGCCACATGGTGCTGACTGTTGTACGAACCTTGTGCAAACATTAGTCGGCTCAACTAACCGCATAGTGGGAGCAGCTACCCGACGGCAAAGTTTATTGGTGTTTAGGGAGTACTCGGTCCAGATGGAGTTGCGACCGCTGCTGGCGCTAATTCTTGGAGCGGCTGGAGGATCACTTCTGACATTCAGTTGGTTGCGTTCGTCGGTTGGCGCGCCTCGCCACTATACCTTCACAAAAAGCTATCCGACTTGATGCAGGATTCAGCAAGACTCTGGTGCTCCTACGATATTGATTCAACTTTGGGTTAACGCACGTCCCAGACCCCTAAAGGAAAAAAAACATTACTACGTTGGGGAATCTAGGGGATCATTAGGGGGTTCCACGCTTTGGATCCTTTAGCGGGCCTGTGATGTTGCTTGGAAAGCCTTCCTCGACCTCGTCCGACTCGCTCCCCCTGATACACCTAATCTGGGTTGCTGTTAAGTAACTTAATAATGAGATTCCCATAATAAGGGTATGTAGTTAATAATGGGTCTTCCTTATGATCGTGTTTTTAAGCCTTCCCTAGCAGCCCAGTAATGAAACGTATCACTCCCCTCCCATCATCATGATGATGACACCTGCCTGAATTATGTTTACTTTAAAAGGTGGGATACTCATTGAGCGGCTTTGGCAGGGCCCCATTGGTTGTAAGCAACCTTGTGGTAGTCGTAGTAGGTCAGGGCGGAAACCACACATGCCAATTATTCTCATGTCGGTTTGCTTAAGAAATGAGATTCAATTAAGGATGTTCTCGTGAATCATATTCTCCACTTGAGCTCCTTTGCAAAGACTGGCAGAGACAACAATAAGCATCTAGGAAATGAAGGACGTCTCTTGGTTCTTTTACCAATAATTTCCTCCGTAAAAGGATCAAGACACAGTGAACACCTAGGACATCAAGGACATCCCTGTATAGCTTTGTTACTGTCTGATTAATTATGACCTCCCACATTACCTAAGAACCTCCCCGGTGGGACTTACCCTTTTTCAGCGTACTCTGTCGTCCCATTCCAAAATGAGTACTGCTAGTCTTCCAGGTTTTTAGGCCTGGTTTTCTATCTTATTATCAGAGAGGTTTTGCTTTTCTGGGGAAGGGATGACTCTTCTTCAGCAGCTCAGGCGCCATCACAACGGGCAACGCTTGAAGTCTCAAAGCTGGATGCAGCCACAGTTGCCCCTTCAGTCCTGAAGCTGGAATCAGGCACAGAAGCACCATCAGTCCAATATGCAGATTGCTGTTATCCTGGCATTCGCTGTACGCCGAACGGAAAGAAGTACAACATATTTGTTGTGTCCTGCGTCCGTGGGGACAATGGAGGCAATTCGGTGGAAATATTCCAGCCAATGTGGGAAACTGTTTTCCGTGGGCTGCAAAGTCGGGACGCTGAGTGTGGGTACCGTGTTTTCCTCATGGCGACATTTCACGTGGACCAGAATTTGCGCTATCCAGAGGAGCCAAAGAAAGGAGACGTGGTCATCCTGGTTGGACATGAAAGCAGTACAAAGTTCAAGGAGCAGTGTGCTACAATTTTTTCACAGAGGCAGGTGTACTGCATCTGGTATTTCAGCGAACACGACATCCAGGGGAAACTAAACTTTACCTTCCCTGGCCTTTGTGAGATCTGGGAATACACCCGAGCAAACTCGCCATTTGCACGCGTGGTGCGATACATACCCGCTGGCTTCCTGCCGGTGGAATCTACTGTGGAGGGAAACGACGCGATGGTCGCTGAGAATGTAGAGCATTGGAAAAACCTCTCTGCGAAGGACATGAAACTGAACCTGCAGTTTGTTGGAAGCCTGAGTTCTGCTCGAATACTCTGCTGGGAGCACCTCAAGACAGTAAAGCTCTTCCACACGCTCATGAATGTCAACGTATGGGGAAGGGACCATTATCGGGCATTAGGTAGGCAAAAAGACACAGTTTTTCTCAATATGCACAGGCATTGCAACAACGGCAGCATGTATCCACCTGGTGTTACTCCACCTCTGGAGACGGTTCGGCTGTCTCTTATGTTGAGCGTCGGTGCCGTCGTAATATCTGAGCAGACCAATGACGCAGATGCCGCGGTGTTTGACGGCGTTGTTTTGTTTGAGCCGCAGCTTTCTCAACCCAGCAACACGTGGGCTACGAACCTGCAAAAGCTGCTTGCAGACCCTCAGGAAATTGCACGCTGGCAGTTGCAAGCCTACAACCGTTTTAAGACAAAGTTCAGCCCAAAGCAGATAATGCTGGATGCAAATGTCTGGGACGGAGGCTTCTCGGCGCACGGGGCATGCAGATGACATCAGCTTGTCTTCCAATCGCACAGTGGCCCGACGAGTCTGTAAACGAGTCTTGCGTCAGCTGCTTTGTGTCAATGGCAGGTGTCAAAAAGGAGATGCCGCCCAATCTGGCTTGAGATGTGGATACAACCTGTAACGTTTCAGCTTTGGTAGCTGAGCCGGCTACCCGCTGGGGGGATGGAGAGTATGAGAGGGACAAGGAGGGAGGGGCAGCAAGAGGGAGAGTAAGAGTGTAAGAAAGGGTGAGTGGAGCCCTTATCAAGGGGGGTTATATAGGGGATCATATAGAGGAGTCTTATAAGGCTTATTAAGGGAGATACAGAAATCTCGCTGGGTGAGGGTGGGAAGTTGCCTGGATCCTTTTTCTCAGCTTAACACTGGGATACATGTTTGGAGGGTCCTCTTGTTGTGGGCCTTTCCATATTGAGTTCGCCCATTGGCCTCTTGCTGCACTCTGCCAATATTCCTGGCTACCTAGAACTTAAATTCCCCCAGCTTCCATGTCATTTTCAATTTTATGTTCCATTCGATTCTCCGTTATAGGGGGATAATATAACTTAAACAAAGTTCCCATAATGAATATATATGTACATAGTAAGTACTATATAACCCTATGGTAACTTGAATTCTGTTCCTGCTCCTTAACAGCAACCCATGGAGGCGGAGCTTACCGTCCTCTTCGAAGAAGTTGGGACCGTCAAGGCAAGTTTGGAGTGCAAACAATATTGGGATTCTATAGAGATTATAGGGTATATATTGGGATTATATCGGATTATAACGGAAAGAAAATGGAAACTACCATACGAAAACAGGGTTTCTTATTGTATCTTAAGTGTTTGGAAGAAACCCTCGCAAGGCCTGCTTGCATACGCCTGCAACCCCCCCCTCCAACTACTACCATCCACATAGGCTTTGCTTTTTTGACCTTGGTTAGCCCGCATGCCTGCACATCTCCCATTCCATGGCCCACTGCTTTATCTTGAAGGTCCGCTGCACCCGGGCAGTGGAAGCACTCATGCTTCCATTTCGGGGTATTGAATTGGGTGGCAATACCTGAAGAATGGAGAATCATGGAAAAGAATATGGAACATAGATGGAACATGAAATGGAAGTCGTGATGATATGGCGGTTTATGGGGATTGGGGTTTCCGAAAATTAGGGGTCATCTTTTGGGGGCCCCAAAAGAAGGATCATAGTGTATTGGCGTCAAAAAAGGGGACCCCTGTCTTTTGGAAATTGCCATGTCAAATCCCTAAACCTTAAAACTTCAGCCTCGGCCGGGCAAGAACCGAGCTTCTCTCATGGCATGAGACCCCCAAGCTGCCCGAAAACGGAATCCAGGAGCTGTCCATCTTCAAAAACAAGGCCTGATGGGATATGAGCTAAGTCTAAACTCCTAGTATCCCCCTTAATATCCCCTATAGTAATCCCCTATATAATCCCCTATACAACCCCTTTAAGGAGTTTAGATTATGGCTCATATGCATCTGAAAGGGTATGGGAGGTTGACATTTTGGATATAGCTAGAACTGCATTAGGGTGAGTTCTAATCCGGCCATACCTTGAAATTGGCGGGAATGGTATCCGGATACATTGGCTTTGTTTCTGGCTTTTCTGGCTTATACAACAGCAATCCCAGCTCTGACTGTCAACCTGAATACCTTGCATGTCCGTCGTTGGGACAAAAAAGGTTCATGGTCGAATCCCAGATGCGTCACAGGCTCAATGGCCCTAATCTTGGTGGGTGTATTTAGTGAACAAGGTTTGGGGGGGCTATGATAGCACATTTTTCGAACGATGACAAGGAAATATGTTTTCGGGAGCATGTGATACTATACGTGTCCAATGCTTATGGCAAGGGAACACGTTTCGTAACTATTCCGTTTTCTAGGGCAGTACTTACTTGCAATCATTCGCTTCTGATGAAAGGGTTCGGTCGTACAGGCTATACGCCCTGAACGGACGATGGAAGCCACACATAAACGTTACATAGTCGAACATGCGAACTCTGCGCAGAAAGACTCACTTGTATGGCGCCCTGGCTTCAGCTCTATGTTCACGATTCTTCTTCAACCCATTTAAAACCAAAGTTTCTCAAGCTTATCCCTTTAAGCTCCTTAGCAACAATTTGGGCTTCTTGGATATATGGCAGGTATCTAGCAGACTTCTGTACTTTTTCGCTATATACTCCTGACGGGAGGTACGTAGTCTTGTTCTTTATTGTGGTTCCGTGAGTGTAGGCAGGATTCCTGAAGAAAATAGCTGAGGGCATGTGTATGTTTAGTGTCAACCATGCATATTTCCCCTATATCAGTTCGTGAACTACATGTTAGCCAACACCTCATTTAGTATACTTAGTATGCAGGCTCAATCTGGCAAATCATGGGCACCCCTGCCAGGTCTAAGAAGGCTTCTCCCTAAACTCCCAACCCTAAAGCCCTAAACCCTAAACTCCCAACCCTAAAAACTAAGCCCCCTCTGTCACCCGTTTGATTCCCATGAGCCAGTCAGCCCTTGTGCCAGGAGGGCAACTCCAGAGGGATGGGCCTTGGCCCAGGATGCTAGAGGTTTTAGGGTTTAGGGGCAAGCAAGACTTACTGGGCTGCTGTTAAGGAACTTCATATAAGTTCCTGTATTGGGGAAGAAGCCCTATCATGAGCTATATACACCCATGATGGTGACTTAGTTTAAGTCCTTCAGCAGCAACCCAGTTTAGGGTTGAGGGCCCAGGATGTTGGAGCAAGGGGGACTGTTGGGCCTGCTTAACTTGATAGCGGAGCTTGAGTAGTATATCCTACATGTATATATCCTAAATAGTTCATAGACGCAGAACCTGAGATAGATCATAGAGGAGCTTGAGCAGTATGATTCAAGCGGGTTTTCAGTATCTGGCCAAGGGCAGGGCATACGCCTTCTTGGACACATAAGGAGGGATCCACATTTTGGAGGTTGCAGGTTGTAGAGTCCCCCTTAAGTAGAAAGAATATGGCTTTGGGTATTTTGTCATAAGATCCCCATATATCCCATATTGTCCCCCTTAAGTAGAAAGAATATGGCTTTGGGTATATTGTCATAAGATCCCCATATATCCCATATTCTATCTACTTAAGGGGCCTTACGGGGGAACTGTAGTTATCTGTGGTGACATGGGGTCACCTGAGGCCCTGGTTCCTCGAAGCCTTGACCCGGCTTCGCGGAACTGTCTTGATAGGGTTTAGGGTTTGGGGTTTGGGGTTGAGGGTTTAGGGTTTAGGGTTTGGGTTTAGGGTTTAGGGTTTAGGGTTTGGGTTTAGGTTTAGGGTTTAGGGTTTAGGGTTTCGGTCTGAGGCATACGGTCCAGAAATAGGGGAAAACAATATGGACCCCATGAGTATAATCCTGATTATAGGGAACCTGCAGGGCAAAGGGGGGCCCCTAATTTTCGGAGACCCCAGGAACCAAATTTTCATTGCGTTTAGGCCATCATAGCGCTCTTGAGGGTCAGAAGTTCAAGAGCTCTCTCAAAGCCTAATGTAAGATCCGCATAGTTCAAAGAGGACTTCGGCCTCCCTATACGGAAAGCAAAAACCTGTAAAACATTTTCAAAAGAAGGATACCATTCCTTTCTGCTGCATGCACATTTGTGTTTTGCAATGCAACGTACCCGAGTATAAAGCTGGTACAGCAATTCAGCAGTTTTAAGACAACTCTAAACCCCTGTAAAAATTCTCTTTTAGCCTTCTAAACGCTGAAAAGCCACTAGCCCTTCCCGAGGTCACTGCACCTATCAAGAGCCCGCGGCGGCCAGCGCGGCCATCCAGACGCTTCGGGATCGGGATGCCGGAGTCTTAACAGGAACATGGGTATTTCAAGCTCGAGTCTCTCAAAAGGGGCAGCCCTTGGCGACCCATCGCCATTATCAAGTCCAGGAATTTCTCATTTGGAATTATTTGGGGTGGGATTGATGTATTAGGTCTTCCGGCTTCAGGGGTTTGAGCCTGAATAGCAAGAATATGCCGTTTCAGGTCGATTTGAGGTAGGTATAAAGGGATACGGTTATCTGAATTTATTTTCAGAAATTGCCACACATACAGAGAGCCTCGCGAATCATGGCTGTGTGTTGTTGTTTTTGTTGGGAAGTTGCTGGGATAGATAGGGCACGAACACATCAAAGATGTTTGCGCATTCTGGGGCGAGACTTCAGGGGCGTGCAGGCTTGCGATTGAGGCCGAATTCACCAGGGGCAGGTTGCAAGCTGCAGTGAGGAGGTGAGATCCACTGTGCAAGGTGTTGCACTTCCATGGAGTCCCATAGATGTTGTGCAAGGATCTCATGGGCATTATATGAGCTGTTGTCCAGATCATGCACACCAGCAAGGTACGATCCAGAGTAGCCATAGATATACTAGTAGTGTTGTGGTTGCATTTCATACCAATTAACTAAAACCCTAGTATGGGTTCTAGCTTTTGCAAGGATCTACTCTGCAAGGTTGTATATCCTCCCTTCACTTAGCTGCCCGGCCCGCTCTACTCTTGGGTTCCCAAGAGGGTGCCAATGCTTTCAGGGAAGGTTCGATGTTTGGGGCTGGGTGTCCTGAAGGTGGTGTTGAGATTGCAGGACATCTCATGTTGCAGAATGTAGCTCTAGCATGTGGTAGTTTCCCAAAATGAAATAAGGGGGCCCAATACGGACACCATAATTTTGTAATCCATATTGTTGGGAACCCAAAAAGGTACCCTTAATCTTGGGAAACACCCATGTGGTCTCACGGGACTTTGGCCACTAGGCAGTCTCAGCAGTGACGATTTGATACACGCTACTTAAGCAAATTCCGGATTCCTCATTCAAGCCTGAAGTAGTTTGCACGGGCCCACTATGACACATATATGAAGACCTGAGATTGCCAGCCTGAAGTGAGATTGAAAGTTCCATTAGCCAGGGACTAAGGGATTCCACAAAGCTAGGCGCAAGGGAATCCTATGTGAAGGCACGCCATTGACAAGTTTTCATTACTCATGGCC